TATGGCTAATAGCTTGTCCAGCTATGATGTGGATTCGCACCATTAGGTTAATCACCTGAGGTGGTACTGTGGTGGTTTGGTTGCTAGCAACTTGGCAGGCCTCTGGAATGGTCTGCCCAGCCTTAAGGTTTGCTGTGTCTAGCACAGGAGGATCCTTTGTGGCTGGTTTTAGGGACCACAGCACCTTGTTGATGGTGTCCACGTGGACACCTAACCTTACCAAAATGTCAGAGCTGCACGGAGTCGGCGCCCCGGCATTAAAAACGTCTTTCCCACCATTTAAAACAACCCGGTCGAACTTTTCAGAAACCGAACCGGACCAGAACAGCGTCTGGAACACAGTTTAAACAGAATAAAGCGTTTCCACAGCTCAGCAAACACGTCACACACCACAGACGTACAATTTCAGCTTTCAAACAGACACGTTGACTCACAATTTTCAGCTTTCAAAGCACCAGTAGCTGCTAACATTTCTGTTTCAGCTCAACACGCTGCGTTTACTCCAAGCGTCCCAGCTGCGCTGCGTTCCATCCCAGCAAATCTGCACTTTTTCACAGCATAATCTGCAAATTTTTATGCCAACATGATATCAATTTTACACGAATACACAGTCCATTTATGAACACGTAACGGGCCACCAGTATGTAGATGAACATATGCATGATATATTCATAAATTAAACGGGTTCTTTCATTTTTCTGGACTGTATAAAATGTGCATTGAATTTAATAAAATGTATCGTGAGACGTTATTTATCTTTGACCCATCAAAATGAATGTGGTCATTTATTTACAGAATCAAAGTTTAACATCAAACATTTACATTAATTTGGCACATTGAAAAATAACAACATGGCTAATTTAGCAAGCTATACAAGTGATTGATTATCCACATGGCGGTGGATGAGCACTTTACACAGACATTTCTAAAATCATCTGGAATGATTTCTACTTGATAGAAGAATTTAAAGAGGAAAGATGAAGTTTAGTGGGAGAAAAGATGGGTGAGGGGGTTTGTTTATGTCAACCAGAAACAGCACTTTCCGGGTTTCTCAGCTTTTTCCCCGGTACACTTAGGTGGCAGAATTCAACTCTTTTACCTGGAGATGTCCCCAGCGGTACGAAAGTCCATTCAATGCACCCTTTCAGCGTCTCCGTAGGAACAGCTGTGAATCGTCCGAAGTAGTGACGGTATTCCGTTCGACACAAATTCACCTCACAAGTGGACTTCACATGAGTGGAGTCCGTCAGAGTTCCACCCAGATGTGGAAGAAAGTTATAATCCCATAAGACTCGGAAGAGCTCTGTGGTCATGTCAGTTTCCCAGCATTGGAACTTCGACCCAACAGGAACTGCGACCCAACAGGAACTGGGAGACTCTGTGAGACTCTGCCTTAAAACTAGGAAGTACCGACATTTTAAAGGGCTCTATTTCCGGTTCATTTGGGAGTTTTCTTATTGGTCAATATCGACCAGACAGGGGTGTGTTTTGTGACGTAAGAGGTTACTAGAAGTCAGAAAACAGCAAGAATGTTATGGAACAGATTGAAAATGTTTTTCAGACCGACGAGAGAAATGTTTGGGCGAGTTTGGGAAAACAGGTGCCAGCTTCTCTGTTTACGTCTGAGAGGATTTAAAAACAACACAGCTCGTTCCAACATTTGTCTGCTTAGACTCCGACCTTGGACCAAACTTACGCTGCTCATTCAAAGACAGAAAATCAGAAAATGCATAATTACTCTGTAACAGACCTTAACATGAATTCTAACTTTGCATGAGGATTAAAAGTAATCATTGTTACTGTTTTCACAGTTAAT